TCCTTAAGTTGGACCTTTATAACCTGACAACCTGCTATACATTCATAAGATTTTAGTCCTAGAAGGGTAACTGACTTGTGATATTCCTTTATTTTACATGTGAAGAGAACTGAGGTCCAGAAAACTCAAGAGAATGAATTAATTTCTCCCAGATCTTTTGGTTTGTGAGGCTATTGTACTGTTTATATTCAGATGCCCTGTGAAAATTGTTTGTGTGTACATCTTTGTCAATTAATTCATTTTTAATTCTTTGAGAATAAGTTCTGGGTCCAATTTGCCTTTACATATAATGTAAAGAAAAGAGTGCTGTAAAATACCTTATTTGTGTCTCACAACAAACCCTGAGAAAAGCATGATTATTGACATGCTTTTAAAGATGAAGAAATAGATATGAAGTAACTTACCCCAAATTACATACACTTATGAGTAGAGTTTACATTTGACTCTCTGGGTGCTGTAAACAATTAAAGCTTGGCTGCTAACTAAAAGGTTAGAGCTTTGAGTCTACCCCAAGGTACCTCTTAAATAAAACCTAGTGATCTACTTCTGAAAAATCAGCCATTGAAAACCCTATGGAGAACAGTTTTACTTGTGACACTCATGGGGTTGCCATGAGTCAGAGCTGACTTGTTGGCAACTGGTAGTCTAAACTAGTATTACTGACTTGAAAGTCACTGCTGTTTAGTATGCCTCATTTTACCAAGAACCAGATTTCTGAAGGGAATTCTATTATGTTCTGTAAAAGATAAATACTTTAAGTAGACATCATCCCTGTCCACAGTAAGCTATAATTTAGTATTTATACAAGAAAGCATTGTAAAACAAATTATATAATAAAGGTATAATTAAAGTATGATTGATGTATGCCTTTGAACGAGTTCCATATTCCCACTCATTTGTAGAACATCTGAGTTATGCCAGGCTTTGGTTTGTGTATTTTATGTACATTATCTCTGAAGGAGCTCTGGTGGTATAGTGGTTAAGGCATTTGGCTGCTAACCAAAATGTTAGTGCTTCAAACCTAACAGCCACTCTGTGGAAGAAAGATGAGGCAATCTGCTTCTGTAAAGATTTATAGCATTGGAAACCCACTTGGGATCATTATGAGTCGGAATTGAATCAATGGTAGTAAGTTTGGTTTGAGTTTATCTCTGAGGCTTCTCACAAGTAGGGCAGCTATATATTATTATTGACATTTTATAGATGAGGCAATGAAACTCATGGTTTGTTAATTAACTTGCACAAAATCACATAGCTAGTAAGTTCTGTCTGCCTGTGCTTATTTCACTATGCCCAGTCATTTTCTTTATCAAAAGGAAATAATACACTGTTTTTGCTACATGTGAATATTAAGGTTATATGTGAAGAGCTCTAGTAGCATAGTGCCTAAGGCACTTGAATGCTAACCAGAAGGCTGGCGGTTCGAACTCACCAGCCACTCCTTGGAAGGAAGGTTGGGCAATCTACTTCCATAGTGATACTGCCTCGGAATCCCAAGGAGGGGTCGCTGTGAGTCAGGTCTGACTCTACTGCGCATAACAACAACATGTGAAGACTTGAAACTTTCTGCAGAATGAAGAAAACCCTGTGTAAATTTTAGTACTAGTAATTATATTCATTATAGCCATGTTCTACCATTTTGGAGATTTGATCTTTATCTGGCCTTGGAATTCATTTTATAAATTGCATTTATTCATAAATTAGAATACAATGAAAATAGAAAATGGAAGACACGTTACACAATTCAGGTCAACTGAAAAGTGTGTAGGCCACTATCCCTACACTGGTACCAATCCTGAAGACATAGAGTCTCCTTTGCCTAAATCCTTGCTGGCAATAGCATCCATATGGAGATGATTCCCAAATCATTCTGTAATTGCATTTTACTCTATTCACTCCCATCTTTCCACCCAGCTTTCCTGTGATTTTGGTAAGAAGAAATTTTTACCATTGTGCTTTTCTGCTCAAAAAACTTTAGGAGCTTTTTATTTTCTTCATTAGATTCTTTAATATGATATACAAGACCCTTGTAGATCTGTCCTCTACTTATGTCTTTAGCCTTATCTCCTGTTTTGCTCTGTTGAGATTGAACAGTTCTAGAAGGTGTAATGTTTTTCCTTGTTTTTAGACCTTAACACGTACTCCAACCTTTGCTGTAATCAGTCTGCCTATTTTTTTTTTCAGAGATTTTTCTATTAATACCTGGGTAGTTAGCCTAAACATTAATTACCAAGCAGACTTCTTTGACACTTGCCCAAATCCCACTTTTCTGTATTCCTTTAGCACCCTATCTTGTATCACCCCATTTTGCTTGACAGTCTCTTCTAATAGACTTTAGTTCTTGGACAAAAGGGGATCACATGTTTATGGTACATCTCTTGGTGTACATAATAACAAAATAAACAGAAAAAAAAAAAAAGTGCTGTTGAGTCAATTCTGACTCATAACGACCCTGTAGGACATAGTAGAACTGCCCCGTAGGGTTTCCAAGGCTGTAAGTCTTTGTGGAAGCAGATTGCCACATCTTTTTCCCATGGAGCAACTAGAGGGTTTGAATTGCCAACTTTTTGATAAGAAGTCCAGTGTTTAACCACTATTTTACTAGGGCACCTTTTGGTAAATAATAGGTTCACCATTGAATGAATAAAATATGAATCTCTTATAGTTTACTTGTGGAAGAGTTAGTATTCAATTCAGATCTGTTGACTTTAGTAACATATCTGTGGTTTTTCAGAGTAGGACTCAGTGTATACAGAAAGGTAGGAGAAAAGATTTAATATAATAAGGTTGACTTTTTCTTAAATCCACCTGTTGGAAGCCAGGAAGATTTCTTTAATTGGTTTTTATCAGTACTCCCAGATTGTTTCTCCATCAGATCAAGAGAGAGCATGTCATGCTATGTTTGGTAATACAGTCTTGACGTTGACAAATCTCCTGTGTAGCTCAGAATAATGCCTTACACATTAAAATGCTGACAGCTTACTATAATTAGGAGTATGTTTCTGAGAACCAAAAGTAAAATATGGAGTTTTTTCCTAATTTTCTTATATTAAAATACATACCATGGCTTTCCAGAAATTGGGACTGATTGAATTAATGCTATTCACATATTAAACTCCCTGTTAAGTAATTCCAAAATCATAACTGAGCTGCTATTGCTTCATTGACATCTAAGCCAATTTAATATAAATAAATGTGGTCAGTTAATCACTTACTCTCCTTTCCTGTCAGCTGTTGAATTCTGGGTTTTTTCTATTTGAATAATTTTATTGTTGTTGGAGAAACTTGCTAAAAATTATAGCACAATATCCCATTGAGTCTCAAATTGAGCAAAGTAAAAGTTAGTGAGATGCTTTTTTTTATGCAACTGTAGAAGTATTTATGATTTCAGAAACCAGGGTGGATTTTTTTCCCTAACTTATCCCTGGAAGAAACACTCTTCTCTTCAGCTGTCTAGGATTTATAATACAGTTATTGAACTGCAACTTTCTTACTGAGAACACTTATGATGGTCAAAAGAAAATTTATCCAGAAGCAAAGATGATGAAAATTAGTTCCAGGATGAATTATCATAAATGAGCAGATGATTGGGGAGCATATCTGCCATAGATTGATATAGTTTAAAAGCAAGAAAATATTGTTTTTTTAAAAAATTTGTGGAGGTTATAAGGTGAAAGAACAAAGCAGAAATACAGAGATTGCTTCTAGTTTCAGTTGTGCATCTTATCATTGTAGTCTGCAAAATGGGTAAAGTGCTACCTCTCTCATTGACTTCTTGGGGCAGGTGTGAACTTTCATTAAATGTCAGCAGTGGCAAGGGCCAAATAGTTGCCTAGGAGACATGGTCTTCTCTTTGTCACTAAGTTGTACATATTTGTAAAATGTTTGTTTAAAAAAAAAAAAATTCATGCATTTCACAGGCTGATCCCAAAGAGCTAATCAAGATGGTTACC